TTTTAAAATCTTGACTGATTCCAAAATGCTACTTCATAAAATGCTGAAATCCTAAAATCTGTATTTGATCTCGATAAAGGAAAATATATGTAACTCAGGGTTGAAAGTGGGGTCCTTCTCTGAGCTTGGTTGCTTTTTTGCAGACATTTCATTACCCAAACTAGGGTGACATCATCAGTGCTACAAGAAAACAAGAAAATTCAAAGAGCACCAAGGACCCCTTCATTTGACCCCATTTGCCCTGCCTGATTCTGCTTACCAAGATAACCTTGTGTTTTCTTCTGTAATGCAGTGACAGGGCAATCCTTGTGAGCCAACAATAGTTGTTTGAGTTGCGCAACTTCATTCCTTAATAATGTAACTTCGTTCTATGAGAAAGGAAACATTTAATCTCATTGCATTGGTTCAACATCCGATCTTGAATCTTGTTAAGTGTTCATTTGAAACAGTGAGAGAACAATCAGAGGTACAACATAAATATGAAGGAATTTACATACGATGGGTTTCAGCCAACACCTTTTACTCATTACGTGGTTTAGTGAATGCTTCATTCGTCATGTCTCCTTTTTTTAGCATTAAAACTGCTATGATCCTATGTCTCAATCTTAAGCCTAAATTGTGTCTTTTGCTATTGGGATAGCTTTGAAAAAGCAAATTTGGAAACCTGGTAGTGAACAAAAGAGATTCTAATCTAAAAAAACTTGAAATAAAACAGGTTTTAATTCTGAAAATCTTGTGAGGTAAGTCAGGCTAAACGTAACACACATGCGCACTTGTACACAAACACACACACTCAAACAGTAGTTTTGAATCTTTTCCACCAATGAAATATAAAGCGGAAGCAACCAGGGCTGCTGCAAAGTACCGTATTTTTTGGAGTATAAGGCCCACCCAAGTTTTGAAGAGGCTTTTTTAAAAAAAAAAAGTAGGTAGATAGAGGGAGAGAGAGGGAGAGAGAGAGAAATACAGTAGGTAGGTAGGGAGAGAGAGAGTAGTTAGGTAGGTAGGTAGATGAAGGGATAGAGAGAGAGAGAAAGAGAGAGAGAAATACAGTAGGTAGTAGGGGGAGAGAGTGTAGATAGGTAGGTAGGTAGTGGGATAGAGAGAGAGAAATAGAGAGATAGAAATACAGTAGATAGTTTAGGGGAGAGAGAGAGAGTAGGTAGGTTGGTAGGTAGAGGGCTAGAGAGAAAAATAGAGAGAAATAAGTAGATAGGCTGGGGGAGAGCTGAGAGAGAGAAATACGGTAAGTAGGTAGGGAGAGAGAGTGTGTGTAGATAGGTAGGTAGGTAGGTAGAGGGATAGAGAGAGAGAGAAATAGAGATAGAGAGAAAAAAAGTTTTTGCACTCTGCAAACCTGCCCAAAATGGCCCATTTTTCACTCATTTCTGCCCTCCCCAGCCCCCAGGAGCTTTCTGAAAGCCTCCATAAGGATATGCATGGCCGTTTTGATGGTAGGGGTGGGGCTTCAGGAGGCAAAAAATTCTGTATCTGGTGTATAAAACACAACCAGATTTTCAGCCTCTTTTTAGAGGAAAAAAGGTGCATTTTATACTCCAAAAAATACGGTACCTTGGAAGGGTTTTACAAAAAAATGGTGCTGAAAAATCACAAAGGCAAAACAAGTGCATCTTCCAGATTTACCTTTATTAGCACACTACCTTCATGGAGTGCTGGAGTTATTTTTGGTTTCTAGCAGCCAGAGAAGCTGCTTATAAAGAATGCAGGTAACAGCCTATTTTAATACTGGTGTTAAAGCTGCTTATATTTGTAACTATGTTATCGTAGGCTTGCTTAGTTGCATTCCTTGTGTAAGTCTCTCAAAAAAGGTGGGAGCACCATGTCAAGGGCACATATGGAAATAACTCAAGTGTATTAACATTCTTATTATTACCACTGAAAGGGAGATTATTACACTGAACTTCAGTTTCTCCCTCAAAGACAGAACTACCGCTGCTGGCTGAGGTCCAAGAACCAGAAGGCTCAATTCTTTTTCCTGAAAGGCAGGAAATTTCTCATAAGCTTCAGGATAAGTTAAGCAACATGGTAGTAAAAAGGAAGCCCAAAAATTCATAGCAGTGCAAATAGCTTGGCTCACAATCCAGCACCAGCAATATATCAAATCAGGCCAAGGTTCCACAGCAGACAGGAGAAGAAGCTAAGCTTCCAATGTTAAAGAGACAGATGGAAAGCATGAAAAGGTTCCCTTTATGCTTCTAGACCACACAAAAGTTAAAATCTCTTTCTTAGTCATAAGAATAACAGAAAGTTTCACATATCGGGATATTTTGAAATGATAACAATATATTAATAATAATTTATTAAATGTATAGGTCAGGGGTCAGCAACCCGCAGCTCTGGAGTCGCATGTGGCTCTTTCATCCCTCTGCTGCGGCTCTCTGTCACCGGTTGGTAAAAGGAAAAATGATGCCACGCTAGGTGAAGACTCTATGTTAGGGGAACCAGACTTCCGGTCGGCTCCAGAATTGAACGGGGGGCTTCCGATTAGGACCTTTGTGGCTCTTTGAGTGTTTAAGGTTGCCGACCCATGGTATAGGTGATGGGAACAAAGAAAAAGAAGAAGAGGACTATCAATTATCATTGTCAAAGAGTGAGTAAACAGATCTGCCGCAGTAAGATTGGAATTAAGTTGTAAGATTTCCTGAAAAAGTCCACACTGACAAGTAACAAGAAATAAAAATGACTGAGGCCCTAATGTCTGTTCCACAAAATGCCCATTCCCACAAGGAGCTATAATTTAACTAAGGGAACTATAATCTGATAAAATGTGTGCTAGTAGAAAGCATCATTTCACAGAGACCTCAAATCCCCCCCCTCCCCCCCCCGGGCAAGGAAAGCTCCTCCAGATGGTAGAAAGGCAAGGCATGCCAAGATCTTCCAAGATAAGTAATGAAGGTCTCAGAGTATAAAAATCACCTCCACATTACATTCGGATCCCATAATTTCAGATTATATTGGTTAGGAACACATTTATGAACAATAGATCTCACTTAAGTATTCTGGAGGAGGATGGTCTTGAAAATAAAGCAAGGATAGATACGATATTAGGGGTACATTTATCATGCTGTAGGCATGTTGGCAAGCCTGCTTACACTTAGATGGATGTTCTGTGAGGTGAGCTCTTCCGCTTTCTTTTCCAAGGACGACACCCAGAGCTTGCGTTTTTGGCGGCAGCGCGAAGCAGCAGCACGGTTCCGCTCCAAAAAACGCTGCCTACGTTCGTCTGGATCTTCATCTGCTGTGCGTCTCCGTCGGCCACCTGTACTTGGTGTGGGTTGAGCTGGGGAAACCTGAGGACAAAGGACAGATTGATGGGCAGGCTATTCACACAGAAGATGGGGCAGGTTGTTCAAAGAAAAAGAGGAGGAACCTGTGGCTTTCCAGTGTTATTAAACTACACCTCCCAGCATCTCTTGTTACTACTCATGCCCGCTAAAACTGCTGGAAGTTGCAGTTCAGCCATTATTTGAAGAGGCCCACCTTGTATTAAGAACTCAGCAGTCATACATACTTATATGGACCAAAGGACTCATCCAAGCAATTTTTGGGACTATTAGTACTGCCCTAATGCTCTCAAATGCTACTTTACTGTTTAATGTTTGCCTTTTTATTCTTGATTGCTTTTATTATATTTTGTGTGATATTTTTTTGTAAACTGTTTTGATATTGTCTCTGAGAATAAAAAGTAATACTTTTAATGAACAAACAATAAATAACACTTTCCTCTGACTTGTCTGGTTCCCAATAGTCTCTTTGTAAAATAGATGTACAAGACGCAAGGATGCCTATAGCTGTGCATTTATCTGCAAGCAATTTAGGATATTTGGTCATTATTTGATTTTGCACCCTTTTATCAATTTAAATTTTTTTTAAAAAAAAACTGCTCTTTTCCCTTGTATCTGTTGAAGCATCTATGTAATTTTTTGCAATGAGATCCTTGTGGGATAGAGGCAACACTGTAATAGTCCCTGAAATCCTTTTTATTTTTAAGTAGCCAAATGGAAATAACTGCCAAAAGCAAAAACAAATTTGCAGGTTCCCACCTTAGCTCAGCCTCCCCAAATGGGCTCTATAATTAGACAGACAGTTTCCACTTCCCTATACGCGCTGTCAGTCAGGCAACATATGGACAGTAAACTTCTGGAAGCTCTAACTGACAGAGCAGGTGGTAATTGTGATGGAAAGCTGGCATTTGGTAAGCTGGCAGGACCAAATGGGGTGCATTTAAACTCAAGTAATTAAGACAGGAAGAGAGACAGAGGGAGAGAAGATTTGTAAACACTGCTTCTCTGTTTCTGACTCTGTCCCCATTGCTGTTGTATCTCAGTGATAAACATCTGGTAGCAATGCTGACAGAAGCAATGGAGGCTCACCCTAGTCTACCCATCTGCTCAGGGAATTAGAAACTGAGTGCCTTAAACCTGGCACATCCTGCAATTAGAAAGCTTTAATTTGGCAACAAGGAAAAACAACATACTGAATTTTCAAGCTTATTTTCATTTGCAAAATTTGAAGTTTGTTCTAAAGTAGTTTTTCAGAAACTGCAAAAAGGAGAGTTGGTTCTCTAAGGAAATGGGGAAAGACTAAAGAAAGATGCACAGGAAGAGAGAAATCCAAAACAAAATATCATTTATTTCCAGATAACTAAAAGACTGCCGGAAGCTGATGATGGTTTTCCTTCCCTTCTCCAGAAATGATTATATTATTGTATAAGAGACTTCATTAGCCCCTGATAAACACCCATCACATAATTATCAGATCATTCTTGTTTTTATAATGGTTCAAAATCTTAAATTCATATTTGTTCTTAAAAATATGAATAAATACCATAGCAAATGATGCCATGCCACCCATCATGCTCTCTCTAATAGCATAGTTAGATCAAGCCCCTACTTAGAAGTTCCCCATTCCCCTTTTCTTCACAAGGACCAGTGCAATTTTCTTTCATATAAAATTCTCGCTCACAATAGTAGCTGTTGGGTTTTAATCAAATATCATACAGTCTAGCAAGCGCCCTTACAAATTTCCACGACAGCTTTCCTAAATTTGGGCTCTTTTCTTTGACTGATGAGCCTGCCAGCTGAGGAAGGACGAGATGCATTGTAGTCTCACATCTGTTTCCTGAATCCTTACTTAATCCAATTTGGCACTTAACCAACCTGTGGCTGGGCCGGAGAAGGTGCATCAGGGTGCTGGATAATTATCTGACCCTGTTCAGGATGGGAAGTCACCATTGTGCTCGCTGATCCCACCATCATGCTGCTGCCATTCAGTGAGGAAGTAATTCCTTGCGTCAGGCTGGCTTTTAGCCTCTGCATGGGATGAAGACAAAACAAACACTAGGAGAAGCTCGACTTTCTCCTTGTTGAGATGGCACAGTGGTTGAAACGCAGTATTGCAAGCTAACTCTGCTCACTGCCAGGAGTTCATTCCTGACCGACTCAAGGTTGACTCAGCCTTCCATCCTTTCGAGGTCGGTAAAGTGAAGACCCAGATTGTTGGGAGCAACGTGCTGACTCTGTAAACCACTTAGAGAGGGCTGAAAAAACACTATGAAGTGGTATATTAAGTCTAAGTGATATTGCTATTGTTGATCTTTTAAACACATATTTGGAGTTTGCTAAAAAGAGGCAGTCTGTTGACAAGGGGCAGTAAACCTGACATACTGTTAACTAGAGGTTCACATTTATGTTCCTAGAAGAAAAATAAAAAAACCTGGATTAATGGATGTAAAAACATCACACGTGACTGGAAATTCTTTTTGCTAAGGAAATCTGAAAAATCTCATTTTTTTGGAGGAGAAGCTCTCATTAATATGGAATGTTTAAACAAGAATTCTTCCTTTCCCATACAATTAAGAAATAAGTCAGCATAAAATATTCAGACAGCTGGAATTTTTCTAATAAAACATTTGGTTTTTTATTACATTTTACTTCATTTTCCTTCCAAGGAATGTGTGTGTGTTAGTCTCAAAATAATTTGGTCAAATGGAAGATGGTTAAAAGAAAGAGATTAGAAAACTACCAAGAGGATATGCCTGTAAAATAGAATACAATATTCTGCTGGTGTAAAGAACTTCTAGCCTGAAGAAGTAGAGGGACTGTTTTTCTTAAATTTGTGTGATATTTGCTCAGATGTAAGTTAATATCTATTCTTAATATGCTGTATTTGGACATGTCTACACTTTTGTGGCTATACTCTTTGTAACCCCAGGCCAGAATTCAAAGAACTCTGCATCAGTTATGCTAAAAAGGATTTTGCAATGGTTTTGGCTGAATACCTCCTCTTCTACTGCCATATATCAGTCTCCGTGGATGGGAATTTGGGGGTTTGCAATTCCAACATGTCTGGAAAGCTCCAGGTTGGGGAAGGCTGCCATACATCAAGTTGCTTTTGAACCCGAGAGAGAATTTCAAAAGCAATTTTATTGCATTTGGCATGGGAATATAATTCAAGAGAAAAAAACAACAACACCGTGAGCTTTAGTAGTTTTGGATCTAGTAGTACTTCAAGTCTGTAAATTGTGCAAGTGGTGATGGCAAAGGGGACTAAGTTTGACTTCTGAAAAACGATACAACAACCTAAAACATTTTTACAAGATGAAGTTTCTTTAAAGTGGTGTTTTCTCAATCTTGGACTCTTTTAAAAGTTGTGTGGACTTCAACTCTCAGAATAATATCCCAGCCAGCCATGCTTTCAAGACTAGAATGATAGAAAAAAATGTTTTTGAAATCTGCAACGCATCTTGGTGCGTACATCTCTCTCATTCGATTCTTTAAAAGCAGCAATCTTGTGAACAACAAAATAGAATCAGGAGCTCACCATTTTAGCTTCAGAGTGTCCTGGAAGTCCTGATGGTGAAATTGAGCCACTGCTGATAACCGGGGGACCAGGAATACCAGGAATGTTTGGCACCATAGGCATCGGCCTTGCCAGCTATATATTGTAGGAGGAGAAAGAAGAAGCACCTCAGGTTTTCTTTTTTTTACTTAGAACACATTGAAAAGGGGGGGGGGAATGCCTCACAAAAATCTCACAAAGGAAACCCACACATTTTCACTTTCTCTGAACCATTCCATTTGGCTACAACAGGCAAACCCTCTCTTTTTTAATGATTGTCCCAAATATCCTTATTTGATTTTAGGTACCATGTTTCCCCAAAAGAAGATAGGGTCTTATTTTCTTTTGGCCCCCAAAATAAGCACTTGGCCTTATTTTCGGGGAGGTTTTCTTATTTTTGAGGTGCAGGAGGTGGAGAGCATGGTTACCTCATGGCTGCTGCTGCATTGCAATATTTTCAGGGAGGGCTTATTTTTTGGGAAGGGCTTATTTTTAGCATATGCGCTCAAAAGCCAAATTGAGCTTATTATCCTGGGAGGTATTATTTTCAGGGAAACAGGGTATCCGTGTGCACCTCTCTACAGTCGCCTAAAAGCTGCAGCATAACGCTAGCTCTCAAAAAATTTGTATCTTGAAATTGGGGATTGCTGGCAATCTGCCGATTATAAGGAAGATTCTGGCTCCAGATAACTAGGCCCACAGAATTGTTTTAGAACAAAGGCATTTGGAGATCAATCAGGCTAAAATTATGAAACCGTTAGTCTTGAATTAGAGGGGAGATGTCTTCTGCTGTCCTCACAAATTAGCATTTCCAATTTATTGGAATTGACCTATTTCCAGTGTGGCAGAAACTTTCTAAATACTTAAAAGTCAGTGAAAATTTACCGCACAAAGAAGCAGACCCTTGATTTGCATGCAACATCAGAAATAATACAAGATGCACCAGAAGGTACTCATGTTTGTCAAATCCATATGCAGAAATAAAAGCTAAATAACCATTTCATGCCCCGAAGAGGCCAGGGAGGGAGTTTTTCCTGGCTTGGAAAAGCCGACATGTTCTCTGCAAGCTTGAATGGTTTCAAGCACAAAGCTAGCTAATCAGAAAGCCTGCCATTCCCAGCCCCAGAACCAACAGGGCCAGCCATCTGTTCATACAAGGATTCAGCCTGAGCCTTCCTGACCAATGACTTGGTTGGCAGGCACAGCTACCCTCACAGGCAGAGGCTCTCACCGACCCCTATGTCCTCTACTCCAGCATAGACTTATCTCATGCAGAGAAGTAGAGGGAGATGTCAATTTCTGCAAATTAAAGTGCCCCATATGCTCTGCAAAGGGAAAAAGCTGTCCTTTCCTTTATCAAAATCAGCCATGCTGGAAGCTTTCATTACCGATATGACAGAAGGCATCTGAACGGGTGGGCCAGGAAGGACCGGCATAGTCTGTCCATTCACAAGGTGCATGACAAGTGGTACAGAACTGGTAGGAGACCTGGAAAAGATTTCAAGCAAAAAGAAAATGCATCAAACAAACTTCCATCCATTTGGCAGGGAAGTGAACTCTCTCTCCAGCAAATCTTGGCTGCACGTGATGCTCTTTGATTCGTGGAATCCATCCCTTCTCCAAATACCCCATGGTGCTCTAACCAATGGACAGCAAACTATTTTCTTCATCTAACTTTTTAACTGCTAATTAAACTGACAGAGTAAACATGGATTGCAAAGCCACAGTTGGTTCTAAACTAACACAGTACTTCTCATTCAGCAACCTGGCCACTAAGCGAAGTGGTTGCTAAGCGAAACTTCATGATTTTATGATCTTACTTCCATTTTCTTTTCCTTTACAGACCTGTAAAGGTTGTAAATATGAGGATCAGTTGCCAAGTTACTTTTTCATCCCCATCGTGAATGTGAGTGGTTGCTAAATGTGGCAGTTGCTAAGCAAGGACTACCTGTAACTAAAGCCAGCTTCTTCTCCCAATCCAGCTCAAAATCTACCTGAAATGGCAGTAATAATAAATAATTTAACTGTGATGGAACCATATCCCAAAGCAGTGGTTTTTGTCCTTTTTGTCCTCGTGTGCCAAAATCGCAAGTGTGCATGCCCACACCCACAATGCAATGTGCCCCGCCCCCTGCGCATGCATGCATGATGCCCCCCCATGCTCCCCACGCCCATGCGTGTGCCCCCTGTGCCCCGTTTTGGGCCTAGCAGGAGTCTCTAAAGCCTCCTGGGATCAAAAATTGGGCTTGGGGGGGAACGTGTCACTCCCCCCACTGCTATGTGTGTGACCACACTGCGCATGCGCACGTGTCTCCCACATGCGCAGCAGAGACCCAAAAATGTGCTTGCTGGAGGGAGGCGGATGCACATGCGTGGTGGAGCTAAGCTGGGCGACGGCTCGTGTGCCCACAGAAAGGGCTTCACCTGCCACTAGGTTCACCATCACGGTCCCAAGGCATGTTTCCTTCTCTTGTGGCTATTTTTGGGCAATTATATATTCCACTGCCATACAGATTTGATACCAGAACACTTCAGGAGAAAATTCTACCTGACAAAATGCTCAATTCTAGGACTGAATTTAGGATGCATTCTCTTCCCTCAAAGTTCCTATTTACCCGAGCTGTCTGTTGGAAGGTGGAGCCTGGGTGATGACCGAGGTTGGAGAAGGAAGGGTTGGATGTAGGGGGTCATATCCCAAGTGCAGTGGCAGAGATCCAGGACGTACAATAGTTGGTGTAGGCGTAGAAATGATAATAGGTTTTGAAGTGCTCTCCTAAGAGAAATGCAGACAATCAGTGCCAAATTTCCACCCACCATCCTTGTGTAATGCTATTAATTTTTGCTTTATTAACTTATTACCTAATTACATTATATATCATATTACTGAGTATTATTGATGGAAACATGGAATGAAAAAAATACAAATAAGCACCCCTCTTCCCTAAGGCAGACCAAATAACACCATGCTAATTCCAAATATCTGATAGAGCCTATAAATATTGCATAAATGTAGTTTCAAAAATCCCAATTTTATCAAAAGGCAAGAGGTCCAAATCTTCTCAAGCCAGGAATCTACAGCCCTCTGTTTCATCGTGATCAGGATAATTATTAGAAGGATTGCTTGATTTAAGAAATGAGTCGAACAGATTTATTTATTTATAGCATTTAGTAGTCCTGCACCCAAAAAAATAGTGTGAGATTTAATATCATGTTAACCCTATCACGCACCTCACAAAATAGTGCAATAGTATGGAAAACATGGATGAATGTGATCTGCAGGCACATTGGTAGATTATAATAGGCAATTGGAACTCCCAAGGAAATATGAGAGCTATTTGGAATTCAAAAAGATGTTCATTAAAATTCAAATCCAAGCCCAGTGCTTTTCTTTAGTAGCAACAACTTCAAGAGCAGGGATAAGCCACGTTCCCATAAATTTCATTTCTATTCTTCTGAGCTCTTTCCTGCTTTATGATTTGGTTCAGATCCATCGCTAGGAACGTGGAGTTGCCAGCAGACATGAAGCCAAGAAAGGACTGCATAGAGGAAGAGACTGGGGTGGTGATAATTTAAATTATTTCAGCATTTTTCATGCATCTGTCCCTGGCATGGAACTGCCAGTTCTTACACCCGGCATGTACAAAGAATCAAAAAATGGGCAGCAAGTCCAGCAGTCAACCATATTTGTAGGATTCAACTGACTAATACTTCTGAATCTCTTGCCTCTATGTTACTATTATCAGAAATAATTAGAGAGCTAATTTTGCTTTTGTTTTTATACAGAGGGCATCTTTTTCAAAATGAACAAAAGCCATTAAAAGTGGATTAAAATAATGCAGGTAGTCCTTGACTTATAGCAGTTCATTTAGTGACAGTTCAAAGTTACAATGGCCCTGAAAAAAGTGACTTATGATCATATTTCACACTTATGACTGTTGCAGCATCCCCATGGTCATGTGATATATATTTGGATCCTTGACAACTGGTTCATATTTATGACGGTTGCAATGTCCTGGGATCATGTGATTTCCCCTTTTGTGACCTACTGGCAAGCAAAAATCAATGGGAAAGCCAGATTCACTTAACAAAGGTTGTACTAATATAACAACTGCGGCGATTCACTTAACAAATGCAGCAAGAAAAATCATGAAATGGGGCAAAACTCACTTTCTTGAAGTCTCACTTAGAAACATAAATTTTGGGCTCAGCTGTGGTCGTAACTCGAGGATTACCTTTCCTGAAAGCTCACCTTTTCCTTAGGCTGTGGTGACTGTGGACTCCCTACTGGGCTGTCTGGAGGAGAAGAATCCACTTCGACAGGCTCTTCCTCTTTGATTTTGACATCCGGGGTAGAGGGAAGAGACATATCTAGAGGACCAGAACACTGTGGAAACACAAAATACATGTTTTAGCACATAGTGCCCAAAGCTATTGTGATGTGTTTGCAGATTTCTGCATGCACACCATCCACAAATATAGTTAGAAAAGCCTAGAAACACGGCTAGGCTACCGATGCTTGTGGCATTTTTTATAGCAATAACAATAGCACCTGTTCTGATCTAGGCTTCCCAAGGACATGAAGCAAACTCCTGGTCCCGACAAAAACCCCTTTTATTAATTTACTGTGAATTTTGCTCATTCACATCCAGCAAAATATTTTAAGGGGGGATTTACAATCATAGACCTTATCTGACTTGGAGAGCTGACAGGCCGATATCTGCAAAACTTGGCAAGGAGTCTCGGAGAGTCACAAACCAATTAAGCGAACTAATTGTCTCCTGCAAACTCCACTCCCTTTCGCTTCTCTTTTATTTCCTCTGGGAAGGGCCATTCATGGTCCACCTGTGGTCTTACTCCCAAATCNCTAGTGGGCTTTCATGGTGGACGGTAGGAATTTGCTGTAAGTCTGCTTTATAAATTTTATAAAGTAAAGTTACTTTCCTACTTTATAAATCACCATTACTGTGGAACCTGTGGGCAGTTAGAAAATTTTATTACTAACAGAGATACAAAAGTGGGTGGTAGATATAAAAAGGTTGACTACCCCTGTCATAGACAAATACGTAGCTTTGGATCGTTTTCCTCAATAAATAAAGAAACAAATATAATGCTTTCAACTTATTTGTTTAATTGGGTCCCCCCCACCCCATTTTAGGACATATGTGGAAAATAGATGTCCTAAGTCATATTTATGCAGAAATATTAAAAAAATCAAAATAATTCACATACTTTTAAGCACTACTTTACATGCATGACACAGGCCGCCGACTTTGCCTTGTTGGTTGCCCTCTTCATGGTTAAGTGTGGCTCCTTGCCTAACAAAACCTAAATCCTCCCTGAGCTGGCCATATTTCTTGATACAGATGAGGACCCTCATGTTGCTCGACACTTTAGTAAGAACAAAGAACTTTGCCTCTTGCCTTTTTCTCATCGTCTTCTGAGGCTTTCTTGAATTCATGTTCAAATGAGCTCGCCAACTCGTTGAAGAGACCCACTTCCTCACAATTCTTCAGAAAACGCGTTGGTGTTGGAGTTTGATCTGTTTGGCAAAGGAGAGAAAAAGGCAGTAAGAAATATGTGATTGAAGTCCATGATTCATCCCACAGAATGTGCAGCCAGGATATTAATTTATAGCACAGTTTTGTAACAATGCAGTTATCATGCTATAAAGTTTGGATTCCATTATTCAGGGTGTATGTGTGTGTGTTCATCCTCCTCCTGTCCAGAGCATATTGGGCAGAAAATGTTTCAGTCATGTATTAATATAAAATATAATTCTATGTATTTTACAATGGTATGTGATATTGAACCTGTAACAGAGCTAGGAAAACATATGTATAAATGAATTGCCGTTTTGGGGGACTGTAATGCAGTAGAAAGTAGGAAGGGCTGGTCAAGACCTGAACGAATGAGGGCATTTAAAAAGATAAGAGCAGGATAGCTTAGAAATAGCAAATGCAGATGGGCTATATTGTAATAGGAAGGGGAGATCTTACAGTAGGAGCATATGAAAGTCCAAGACATTGTACTGCTCTGAATGGTGCTGGGATATGAAGTTCTGCTTTAGAAGTTCTCAGGAAGATGCCTAAGTGTGCATGTATAGATGCTTCTAAAAATATCAAGAAGAATGAGGAAAGAATAAGAAATCTCTTATCTTATCCAAACAGTGAGACATGAAAAGAACATCCCATTTATGAGGAGCTTCAATCCCTTTTTCTAATAAGGAAAAGAGGTAGCGAGGGAGGTGGAGTGAGGGGAGGGATGGGAAGGAAGGGAGAGAGAGAGAGAGAGAGGGAGGGAGGGAGGGAGGGAATGAGAATCTCTATCTCTGTGGGGAACTTCGCTCTTATCCCTCTCAGAACCTCCTTCTTGACTTGCTCTTCCTTTCCAGGTGTTATCATATCAATGGTCTAAAAAGAAGAGAGCCAGTTCTCTTTCCCAATTTACAAAAACCTTCCCTTCTTGGCCGTGTCCGGCTAGATTTTTGCTAGACGCAGAAAAGCCACTTAACACAAACATCAGCTTTTTCATTTCTGCTTCGGCATGCCTGTTTTAGATTTGCTTGCAGGGTTTACATTTACAGTAGTACCTTGGTACTCGACTACTTCAGAACTAGTCAAATTTGGTACTCGACACATTTTGATGCAAAAATGTTTTTCAGTACTCGGTGTTCGTTTAGTACTCTATGCACGGCATTAGGAAGAGGGGAATGGCTGCTGAGAACAGACAGGAAGAAAGTTGGCCATGCTGGAAAGGTCGTTGACATAAGAAAATGGACAGAGAGAAAAATATTCCCAGCTGAAAGAGTCACGTGATAAGTCATGTGGTTTGTTTGGGACTTGTTCTTTTTAAATACTTGTCACACCAATTAGTGATATGTACCGAGATACCACTGTATATGAGGCAGTAAAATAAAATTTTAAACATGTTCGGTGTCAAATGGGATATGTTTTATGATTTGAATTCTACATATTTGAATTGTTTTCTTCTTTTGCTTCATTAAACAGAAGAGAAGAGAACTGCATATAAAGCACTGAAGCCATTAATGCCTGGCCTCTGAAATGCCGGCTCAGCATTTTGAATTTTTAGAATCTTTTTTTCCCCACTTTTCAAATGAAACTGGACATGCTGCATCCATCCAGCCACAAAAGAATGGGATATATTCTGACTTTGATGTTGGCCCACTGTTCCCACCTCTTATTGGGACATGTTAATAGGCTGGCTGATACGAGCAAGCCCAGGATCTCAGGAGCAGCTTTTATTTGTACTTTACGTTATTTGGTGGTGGAGGCAGAAACTTGATTTGATGTCATTGCTAGGGGAGGCATGCATGAACTGATGTCTGCAAAGGCAAAACAGGAGCTTTGAGTGATTCATCTACTTAATCAAAAGCTGCAATAAGAGAATAGAATAGAATTCTTTATTGGCCAAGTGTGATTGGGCACACAAGGAATTTGTCTTCCGTGCATAAGCTCTCAGTGTACATAAAAAATACACTCATCAAGAATCATAAGATACAACACTTAGTGATAGTCATAGGATACTAAATAAGCAATCAAANACAATACCGCTTCACAGTGCTTTACAGCCCTCTCTAAGTGGTTTTACAGAGTCAGCCTATTGCCCCAACAATCTGGGTCCTCATTTTACTGACCTCGGAAGGATGGAAGGCAGAGACAACCTTGAGCCTGGTGAGATTTGAACTGCCAAATTGCAGTCAGCCGGCGGTCCATAGAATTAGCCTGCAGTACTGCATTCTAACCACCTCAATTATCCCATTTTTCTGATGCTAATGTGGCTTTTTGGTCCAGAAAAGCTAATAATATACTATAGACTGCAGGATCCAATCTGAGTCGGTCATCGGGACCAAAGATTTATTCTTCCAAGCTTTTGGGATCATGCTGGAGCCCATCATCAGAGAATTTCTCTCTCTTTCTCCAGAATACTTGATCTGGGCTTTTCCATGCGTTGTATTTACTAAAGACCGCCGTCGAGAATGGTCTTTTAAGTGGGGTCCCTGGGCTGAAAAGTGCAATGCAGATTACGTAAGCAGCAGTTTGTCCCCAAGGACGCCTGCTATTCTTCTTCGCATGAACGTCAGGTTAGATGTCTGCCTTAAATTGCTAAAACCTTATTAAACCAGGAAGGCAGCATTTTGGAGATCGTGTACATAACACTCTACAGGCAACCCTTTTTTCTTGTAAAACTTTGCGAATATAAAAATAAAAGCTGGAGGGCCTGCAGGCCACAAAAAACCGCCCCCCCCCACTCATTCACAGAAGTGCTGGAATCCGCAATATAAGTCACTTTTGAATTACAGCTTGATTTATCAAAAGCCAACGAGAGAGCCATGTAAGTTATTACAAACCTATGACCAGGCCATTGTAATAAAACCCAACCATATGCCTGAGCCTGGCAGCTTGCCACCACACCTATTTTCATTTCAACAGCTCAGCATGGCCTTTTCCAATTTTTGTGAACAACAGCCGTCTATGCTCGTAGATCTCCAGGTCGTAGTATAGCAGGAAGGAATGGCACCGTGCACAGCAAAGCAGAAAGAGAAGTAGCACATTAAATAGTCTTGAAGCAATCAAAAGCAGCCTAATACCTCCTCAAGGCCTTTGATGGAGTTTGCCAAGGTGATAAAAGAAGGTATAATGAGCTGCTGGGAGGGGAAAAAGGCCAGGCGGCACAAAAAAGCTACTTTTCAATGTATTCAAGGCAAAAAATTGCTTTTAGTAGCTACCAAAGAAAACCAACAGGGGCAACCAGAGTAACAATTAATTAGACCATCTTTCTTTCCTTCTTTGTTTAGCAATCTGCTACTTGTCACCTCTTTTGTCTTATGCTGGTTACGTCTTGTGCATAATCTTCAGTTAAATGTTTCTTTAGAACCCTCTTCTATGCTGTAATGCACACTGTCAGGCATAAGAAACCAGGAAACCAAGGTTGTTCAAATCAGTAGAAGTTTATTCCATGCCATCTCTAGACAAGAATCTGAACTACTAATGGTCAAAGCAAGTTGGCAAACGATAAGAGCCAACAGAATTCAAGGAGGGCTGGCTTTAGATCTCTTGTGGGTGTGATGGGAATCCAGACAGATGACATGCTTTACCTCTCCCTCTGGCTCAGGCTGGTCATCGCCTACACAAACTGTCATATTACATGCTGAATGTCAGACTTTGCCATCTCCGGGTTGTTTCTCCTTTAGCTTTTCATTTGTTTAACACAGGCTAGTATGTTCCAGTTCAATCCTCTCTAACCAGGTACCCTGTAGAGCAGAGGTGACTAACCCCCGGTCTGTAGACTAGCACTAATCCATGGCATGCCAGCAACTAGGCCACACAAACAAACGAAGCCCCACCCGCAGGATGCAAATCCACACCCCCTCCAGTCTGTGAAAAAACTTTTCTCCATGGAACTGGTCCCTGGTGCCCAAAAGGTTGGGGGGCATTGTTCTAGAAGTATTGCGGCTATAAATAATTTTGGCTAATAATTCTGGGAGATACATTCCTAATATAACCAGAGGGCATCATCTTAGAGAAAAATTATAACTTTAAGCGTTTTCCCACTAGTCAAGGGGAGCTTTTCCCTAAGGCTGCTAGATAATGCCTTTTAACTTTCTGAAAAACTGATTCCAAGCATTCAGATTTTGATGGTTTGCATGCAAAACACATGTTCTACCACTGAACTTCCCCATTTGCTTCACTACTCCTGTAATTGAACAATTTCTGTAGAAATCAAAGAAAACGGCCATCACTGTGGATGATGACACCCAAGTGGGTGTCCGAAGTACTGAAACTCAAAGTCAGTTATTGACATTAATTACCTTAAGAACCAGGCTAATACATCTGTAAGTAATTACAGGCTTCTTAATTTCTAGTCACTCTTGAGAAACCAGGAATGTCATATTCTAAAAGTAGAGTATGAATCCAATCTCATATGAGGGTTAGCAATAGGAGGGTCACATTTAACCCTCTTGAAGGATGATGCCTCAGTTCTGCTCATCTACCAAATTAATGAGGCCATTTGAAACTAAAGTTAAAAGAACTGGAGCGTCTCCAAAAAATTTTTTAAGCTGTTAAATTGCTCACTTTAAAGAAGTGGAGCTTCCAAAGCATCCAGAATTCCCAGTCAGCATTTTTAGGTTGAGGATATGCAAAAAATGTAATTAGGGAATCATTCAGTAGACGAATCATTGCTGAAAACATCCACCAGGAAGCATCAAGTTTTCTGTGAGAAGCAGCAGGTGTCAGAGAAACAGCTGAACTGGCTACTATCTTTCAGAAGAAAGTACCAAGTATAAGAAGCACCTTTTTCCCCTCAAAAAAGAGGATGAAAATCTGGGTGTGTCTTATACACCGAAAACAGAATTTTTGGCCTCCTGAAACCCCCCCCCTTTGCAAAAATGGACATGCAGAGGGTTTGGGGGGCTTGCAAAGAGCTCCCGAGGGCTGGGGAGGCCAAAAAAGAGCAAAAACGGGCCATTTTTGCTACTCCCAGAGCCCAGGAGCACTCTACAAGCCTCCCAAAGCTCTGCATGCCCCCCCCCTTTTCAAAAAACGAGGCCTGCAGAGTGCAAAAACATTTTTTTAAAAATTTACCTCTTCAAAATCATGGTGTGCCTTATACTCCAGTGTGTCTTATAGTCCGAAAAATATGGTACTTTATTGGGTTTCTGTAAGATAAAATGGAGGTGCTATCCACCCTTTTAACCTGGCATCACGTCTAAAAACAAGGACTGGGCCTACAGCAGCGTTTTAAAAAGAGGTCTCAGCACTGAGGAGTGAATGAATATGGAGCTTCTCCATACGACTCGTCTTGACCCAGGAGATGAGTCACCCATCCGTCTGGAAATACCCCAATCTTTTTCAACTATAAAGATCATCAACATCTCTTAGCTGGAGCTACCCAGAAGAAGAAGCAACACCCTCCCCTCCCCTATCAATTTACATACATACGCAAAGTAAAACTACCACCAGCAACTGGACTCGATTTAGCCAAGCGTTTAAAGTATCCCGTGAATGTAGCGGGCAAAATCCACCAAGTTTTCTAAATAGGAAACCAGCTGGAATTAACAATCCAGGCAAGCTCTATTCTTGGAGGAGTAATTCCTTCAGCCTGCCTGAAACCAGCCAGGCTTGGAACTGCTGCAGGCTCTTGCAGAAGGTTGGAAATATTAAGGCTGAGTCATATATTTAACTAGGAGGAAGGGGAGACAAACTTCACCAAATTAAGAGTCGCCGTGGTAGCTATTTTAAAAAGTCCAGCAAAAAAAGTCCATGGGTGGTCTAAACGCATAAAGTGTTTGGCTATAAAACAAAACTTCAAATTAAAAGCTAAAATTAAGATTCCAGGCTGCCACACAATTTTTAAAAGACAAGGAACTCAGACAGACGCAAAAGAATGGCTCAGTGGGAACAGCAAGGCAGCAATTTAGCAGGCAAGATAAGGATTTCATTAAGAGACCTGTGGCAGTTTATTTATATTAAAAAGCATAATACGAGACATAAAGAGATCAAGGGTTGCTTAGTGTCTTGTTCTGGCTTGGCCTAATCCTATTTTAAATTCTTATTTAATAAATAATTCAATTTGAATGTTCCCTGTTTTAAGGTTTATTAGAGAAAGAGGGAGGGAAAGTGCAAACTCACGCAAGCAAGCGTTTGGAGGGTACCTCTTCCAAGAGCAGAATAAGATACAGATGATTTAATAAAGAAAAATATGAAAAATAAAATATAGATATATGTGTTTCAGCCAAGCATCTCCTTCCAATGCTTTGGAAAACACTCATGAAATCTAGTCTTCAACATTTCTTTCATTACTGTACTGACAGGGGCTTCCATGAAATCTGACTTTAGCTATGGCTGGGATACAAAGCAGCACTGAGGCAATACAATTTTTTCCTCTCCTTTAGATCTCATCTTGAATCAAACAAATGCCTAAGATGGAGTGTTATAGCAGGTGGCAGCACCCAGATCTTGCCTGATCTTCAGAAAGCAAAACAGATTAGGACCTCATTTGTGTTAATCTGGAGGCCACTAGAAAATCCTAGAGCTCTAAAGTAGATTAGGAATTTGGAACAATATCCAAGAAAACGACCATGGCATGCTAGTGACTTCAATAAATGACTACCTAACTACAATAGATGGCATATCAATCTAGTAACTTTGGTAAACTCAAGTGAGCTTTTCACATATAGCTAATTCTCAGGTTACAACAATTGGGAAAGCGACGTGGTCGTAAAGAATAATTATCAGATGACTAGATCACTTAGCAAGGACAAGCCCAACAGTTCTGGTTGCTGTCAAAGGTTGTTATGATGACCCTGAGGATATTATACAAAGATTTCACATGACTGTGATTTGCGACCTTCCCTGCTGGCTTCCCCATTGACCTAGTTAGTGGGAAGCTTGCAGGAAAGGACACAAATGTTGTTCACGTGACTGTGGGATACTGCAACTGTCATAAGTACAAGCCAATTGCCAAGTGACAAAATTGTGATCACATGACTCTGGGGCACTGTGACAGCCAGAACTTTGAATATTGATTATAAATATTCAATATTTATAGGTTATAAATATAGATGCTATAGGGCACTGCACACCAGAACAACTAGACACAAGGACAGTTTTTCTCCCGAATGCCATCACTCTGCTGAACAACTAGTTCTCACAACACTATCAAACTATTTACTAAGACTATATTACTATTATTCTTCTCATCCTTCCTATTACCAATCCTCCCACCTATGACTATAACCATGTAGCTTGTATTTTTATGATTTATATTGTTCTGTTTGTTTCCTAGTATGATTTGATTG